ACATTATATATATATATATACATATATATATATATCATCATCATTAAGGGGCTAACGCCGAAGGGGGCACATGGCCGCATCCACCCTTCGCTTCCACCTATGGGGTCCCTCATGGCGAGCCTCCAGGCAGGCCCTCGCCCCATCTCAACTTCTCGCGACAGGACAGGTTTAGCTCCTAGGCCGTCCCACGGGCACCCTTCACCAAGGATTGTCTCGCAAAGAGACAACCTGATGGGTAGGATCATCCACAGGAAAACGAGCTAGGTGCCCATATAGCCTGAGTTGGCGGTCCTGGATGATGTAAGTAACAGGTCCCATGCTAGTCCCACGGTGTATATATATATATATATATATATATATATATATATATATATATATATATATATATATATATATATATATATGCACACACAAATATACACAGATATACCCCATACATTTATATACGAGCAGTCTTCTCAAAGACTGGATATACCCGACGGGACAGATATTACATTATGCAGATGTCTGAGGATAACGACCACGCTCACCACCAGAAGGAGCAGAATCTGAAATCCAGTGTACACCAAAACGAACAAGACAGCTGTCACTTTACACAGCCCCCAAATCAAGAAGAGACCAAATCGAGAAAATAAGGACAGGATCAAAAAATATTTTATAGGATTTTTAAAATACGCAGATTCGTACGACGATGCCTTCTCCTTAAAATATTCCGTGGAGTTCAGATGCCATGTAGAGAGGCAATCGACGTTAACGTTTTGGGTAACTACATGGTTTACTTCGTTGCTGTATCTATCGTCTGTCTGAATATCGGTGCGTGAAGTATCTGGTCCATTTTCTTTGTTTTCCCGGAACGTTTCTGCTTCATCAAAATCCTTATTCAAAAGTTCTGTATTCTTGACTTGCAACAAGGAATGTACTACGTCGCCACTACTGCTGCTATCTCTCGTTTCACCACTCTCACTGCTGCAGCTGTCACAATCACCTACTGTCTCTACGCCTGTAATTCCCAGTATATCTCTTTCACCTTGCTGAGACGAATCTGTTTGAGAAACTACATGAAAACTGTTCGAACAAGCAGCTTTTTCGGATGTTGGCACCTCCTCGCTGCTACTGCTTTTATTTCTCGTCTCACAGCTCTCACTGTTGTAGCTGTAACAAGCACCAGCTGTCTCTACGACATAAATACCTGGTATATCTCTTTCACCTTGCTGGGACGAGTCTGTTAGAGAATCTCTGTGAAAACTGTTCGAACAAGCAGCTGTTGGCACCTCCTCGCTGCTACTACTTGTACCTATTCTGCTGTTATCTCTCGTTTCACCATTTTCACTGTTGTAGTTGTAACAAGCACCAGCTGTCTCTACATCTGAAACACCTGGTATATCTCTTTCACCTTGCTGGGACGAGTCTGTTTGAGAAACTCCGTGAAAACTGTTTGAACAAGCAGGTTTTCCGGATGACGGCACCTCCTCGCTGCTACTGCTTGTGTCTATTCTGCCGTTTACATATAGTGTCACCATTATCTGCTGAATGGGAATCAGAGTTGGCTCCCTTCCGTCTGACGGTCTGACGATACCACCATCAGAGATATTACTGCAGTTCTTATTGCTTTGATCTATCTCTGTAGGGAAAATACGTGATGTATTTTTTCTGCTTTGAGGGGACGATTTCGACCATGATTCATGAAGCAAGGCGTCTGCACTGCTTTTTTCTCTGCTGTTTTCATCACGTGCTTTACCGCCGTCACTGCCGTAGCTCTCATCTGCCTCCTCTGCTGAAATGCCTCGAGTTTCTTTCTGATTTTGCAGAGATACGTCTGACTCAGAATCCTCGAGAGAACTGCTCGAACTCGCGACCTCTGACGACGATAGGATTTCTTCCTCGCTGCTGCTGTTTCTATCTCTTGCATCTTCCTTCCCTTCTTCCTGTGTTGTTATCATGTGATGAATGTGAAGGGATGTCTTTCCATTTCCATCGTTAGTCCTGAGGTTAATGATACCACCCGAGTCGTTGGTGTCTCTCTCAATCTTCACTTCCATTCCGTTTTCTTTGCCTGCCTCATTTTCTATGGTTTTCCTATTTTCCTTCCTCTCGTTTTCTTTGACAGTTCTACAGCTTTTCTTATGTTCATTTTCTATGATCTTTCCGTATCCTTTGTTCTGTCCACTTTCTTTCATCATCCCACATTCGTCTTTATTCCCCTTCATCTTCTGCTCTTTGGAACACCTGGGACAAGTCGTAGCAGGGGACACAAGGCTGTCTAATTCCTGCTGCAGGAGATCGAAGGCTTCGACAATGTCTGCCTCTGCCCTTCCCGACAACTCCGCCGCCAGAGTGTAAAGTTCCCAGAGGACGTCTTTCACTTCCTCCAGGTCTTCCATTAACTGGGTGATGGCCATGGATCTCAACTTGTGATGGCTCATGACATTTCGCACGTGGACGAGCTTTCTCACCCAATTTTTGAAGGCATTCAGATGCTCCCTATGCTCTTGCTTGGCCT